TCTGGTCCCTGTTGTGCAGATAGGGGAGAGCCTCCTTATTGAGGTCTCATGGTTTTCTAGGCAAAGACCCGAGAGTCCACTTTGAGAAGAATGTGATACACATTCCAGAGGGCAAGATCTGGAATTCAGAGCCCAACTTCCAGTCCTGTTCTGCTGCTGCTGGCCTCAGGACTCCAAGCAAGCAATCTGACCTCTGGTCTTTAGTCTTACCTTAGACCTGGGGCAATAATATCTACCTGTCAGGGTGACTGAGAGATATGATATCATGGACCTGTGTGTGTGCTCGTGAACCATAAAGCATGATACAGCTATCAAACACCATCTATCCAAACCCCACATTTTATCCATAGGGAAATGGGGGTGCACAGAGGTAGAGTGACTTGCCCAAGATAGCACAGATAGCAATCAAAGTCAGATCCAGGACTCCAATCTAGGAGCTGGGATTCCAAGTCTATTGCTCTCTCCACTGTACTCTGCTGTCTCCAGGCTTGGAACAGAACTAGGGCAGAACTCACACGGGGCATAAATACATGCACAGGTAAATCAGACCAGGCCTGGGCCTCTTGCCTAATGTCACGTGGTCACCAAGATTGTGGTTGTCTGCCTTCTCCTCTATCCCTGTTCCTGCTTCCAGACTGAAGTGGTGCTGGAGCTTCTGCAGGGGAGAGAGAGGCAAGAGAGGGTCGAAGCAGCTTTAAGGTCCTGTGGCCTGAGAGGGGCTCAATTAGGGCTGAACAGAATCCAGAGTGCTAAGTAGATGTCCACAGACTATACAGCCCTCGGTCACCTTGGCCATCCCAAAGGCGTCCTCCATGGGGCACCATTCCTCAAACTAGTGCATCCAGACACTGGAGGCGGGGGGGGGGGGGGGAGGGTACAGCTCAGAGCCCTCGGCACCCTCCTTTCCAAAGAGGAAAACCCCAAGGAGGCAGGGTGAGGCTGAAGTGGGGCTGACATTTATTTAGGGGCTCGTGGAGGTGAGGCTGAAGAGGCAGAGGAGGACCATCTGACACTGAGGCCAGTTAATGGATCGAGGAGGGGTCCAGAGAAGAAATCTGTACCCACCAGGCCCCTGGGCAATGGGAATTGGGGAGGAGGGACAAAGTGGTTGGTTGAGAGCTATTCTTCAGACTCACGTAATGCCAATGTGTCCCTGCCTGGCCAGTGGAGACAAGGAGGGAAGAGCAGGTCTTGGGTTCTTTGACGCATTCCTTTTAACCTCTTTGAAGCAATTTGGGAGGTAGAGAGGAAAGTGCCGGGAAGTGTGCATGAAATTTTGCAAACATTTGTTCAATTAATCTGACGAATAGGAGTTATTTTTATTCACAATTCCTAGTGGGAAAACCAAGACTCAGAAAGGTTTAGCAACTTGCTCAACATCAGACAGGTAATGAGTGGTGGAGCAAGGACTCAAACCGGGTGGGCGTGGTTGTTCGGCCTCCAGTTGTCTCCACAAGAGGAAGGGGGGTCAAGAGGATAATCCCTGTAGTACAGTGAGGACAGCTGGCCTGGGTCCACACAGAATTGGGATTACACTTTTGCAAATCAGCAACTCAAATGTTTGGTGTTATTTGCATTCCATTTTGCCTACTTTTTACCAAGTCTACCAACAATGAAGTACCTGGCATGGAGCTCGCACAAGTGAGAATGAAAATCGTATGCAATTTAAATACAGCAAACGTTTACAGGGTCCTGCTGAAGTGGCTCTCGGCTTTCTGCAGGCAGCACTGCTCAGGAGTCTATCTTGCCAGCACTTTCTAGGGCATAAGTTACATTTCACATTTACCTGTCTTGAAATGTGGGCCCAGCACTGGCCATCGTGACTGGTAAGGTGAGGGATGGCCTAAGGCTGTGCTTCAAAGTCTAAGTCAAAAAGTTCGGGTTCCCTGTGTGCGTGCCCCCTTCCAAATTATGGCAACTGTTGCCAGCAATTAGGTGATGAATCGGAAAAACGTTTTCCATCAACTCTAATGAGAAAAAAAATTGGGAAATAAAATATTAATAATTGTATCAGTGGCTGCTAACACATGCTGAAGCAAAACAGGAGAAAAGCTCAGTTGATTTTGACCGGCTTGATCAGATGGGATGCAACCCTGTTTCCTTTCCTCTGTGGCTGCCCTGAGGCTGAAGATCAGCATTGGGAGGGGTCTGGGGGAAGGGAGAGGCCGGGTTCCACCACAGAGTGGAAGGAAGGCCCAGTGGGGTGGTCTGCCCAGCGGCCCAGCCCTAGCCTCGCTCCCCGGCCCCACTCCAGGTTTGCCCACGGCGGGTCCCTGGCAGCCATGATGGACGAGACCTTTTCTAAAACTGCCTACCTGGCTGGAGAGGGGCTGTTGACACTAAGCCTCAACATCAGATTCAAAAAGTAAGTGCAGATTCTCAGGGCACTGGCCAAAGCCATGGCCCTTTTCATCGCTGGGCGTGGCCCTCCTTGGCATTGGGGCACGAGCCCTGCCTGCCACGCTCCTTCCCCAGCCCACGCCCAGGCAAGCTCCTCTAGGATGCAAACCCTGCCGCCCAACTTTGGGAGCTGACAGGCGGACCCTGAGCCCAGGGCCACTTGTGAGCCTTGAGGCAGGGTGTGATGAAGAGACCAATGGGGCAGAGAGGGTGAAGGGATGGGGGGCCGGGGCTCACAGGAGGGATGGGCTACGCCGCCTCCTCTCCCAGCTTGATCCCCGTGGGCTCTCTGGCTGTCCTGAACGTTGACGTGGAAAAGATTGAGGACCAGAAGCTTTACATATCCTGCGTCACCCAGAGCAGAGACCAGCAGACAGTCTATGCCAAGTCCTCAGGTAAACAAGTCCCCAGCCTCAGCCCCAGGCCCCGTCCTGCCACCACCCACCCCCAGAACAAACAGAAGAGAGGATCCGGTCCCAGGCTGGGCTCCAGCTCTATTAGGAATGGGGTTGGGCTCCTACTGGAGACACCAGTGAAGTGCGGGAGAAGCCAACTAGAACTCTTTTCTACCTATGAGTTACCCAACCTCTACCGCACAGACAGGATCCAGCTGACGGGTAATTTGGAGCCAAATGCTCACTAAGAGCACCCCCTCAAGCTCCTGCCACCTCAGTCCTGGCTCTGGCCACTCAGCTCACTCTTCTCTTGCAGGTGTTTTCCTTCAGCTGCAGCTGGAAAAAGAGTCATCCTAGTAACAGTCACTGTGCCTTCAGGAAAGCCTACTGCTGACGGCCCGGCCCGCCTGGGACCCACTCTAGAGCGGTGGGGCGGGGAGGTTTCCCAGGATGCAATTGGCGAGGTGAGGGAGAGGGCCCTGGCTTCCGAGTAAATAAAGTCTCACAGCCCCATTCTCGGCCCAAAACCTTTCGGTGCTTGGAAATCAAACTCTGTCCAGGGAATCCCGCATACTCACCTTCCCATTCGGCACCAACAGGAAAGATTTACTGAGCACCTGCCAGGAACCAGGCGCTGGAGGAGGCACCGGGCAGGGCAGCTGCAATGAGAGACAGGGCCCTGGGCCTTGAGAGGCACAATTGGGGGCCGGGGGCCAGAGGCTGAGAGCACAGAGTGCCCCAGCAAGCTCCTCCCAGGCCTCCCACCGTGAGTGCAGTGCAGGCCCAAAGGGACAAGGGTCAGTTCTACTCTATGAAGAAATCAGAAAAAGCTTCCTAGAGGAAACTCTGCCTGCACTGAGTCTCCAAAGTTCAGTGGCGTTCAGCAGGCAGGCAGGGGAGGGGAGGCTATTGCAGGCAGAGCAATGTAAGGACAAAGACACAGAGGTGTGGACGCGCACAGGGCCTGCAGAGAGGAGCGAGGGGTCGAGCAGGCTGCAGCTGAGGGAACGAGAAGGTGGGCAGGGAGCAGCCATGGAAGGCTTCGCAAAGCCTTCAACTTTGTCTTGCAGGCAACGGGGAGCCTTTGAAAGGCTTGGGCTGGGGACAGAAAGCTTTGTTATTTAGACAGATGACTCTGGTGGCAGCAAGAGGTCAGCTGGCTAAAGGCAAGAGCACTGGCTGGGAAACCCCTGCAGGCTCCACTAGAGACGGTAGGGCCCGCGTGGGTCAGAGCCGTGAAGTCGAGAGAGACGGGACATGTTACTGATAAAACAAGGGCAGGACTTTGCCACTCACTGTACATAGTGAAGGAGAGCCATCCAGGGTGACTCCAGACTTCCGGCTTGGGAGATTCCAAGCGGTATCACGGGAAATACAGAAAAAGCAGGTTTGAGATGGGGGCAGAGAATGAGCTCAGTTTTACATGCCTTGAGCTTGAAGTGCCCACGGAACTTGCACCGTGTGGCAAGCGCCAGCAGGAACCTGGTTGGAGCTCAGGAGAGATGAGCTACTGACTGAATTTGTCAATATAAAATCTGACATAGAACCCCTGGGAATGGCTTAGGTAGAGTGAAAATGAGGAGGGGGAGGACAGTGACAGTGGGGATGGGGGGAAGAGGTCAAAGATAGAACGTTAGGTCACACTCAGGCTGGGACAGAAGACAAGGACCCACGAAGGAGGCTGAGAACAGGACTGGAGTGACCGTCCTAAGAGGACAAATACTAAAGAGAAGCCAAGGAAGATGAAAACTAAAAAGCTCTTGGCTTTTGCTTTGGCAATAAGGAAGGCGGTGGTCTCCTTTGCCAGGGCAATTTTAGGAGGCAGGAGCAGAATCCAGATTACAGTAGACAAAAATAGGAATGGGGAATGAGGAAATGAATGTAGATAACTCTTTCTAGGAATTTCGTTGTTGTTATTCAAGGAAAGAGATCTGACTGTATTTGTAAATTGCTAGAGGAGAGAGGGTGAAGCTTTTAGGAGAGAGAGTGAGAGGCGTCGTCCAACAGAACAGCTCTCTGGTCTTACAGATGGATCAAGGGCACGCGTGGAGATGGGGTCATGGGAGAGCATCAGCGTGACTCTGAGCCCAACAGGAAGGAGGTGGGGTGCAGAGCAGGACAGGAAGTTGGGGGATTCGCGCCAGAGCACCTCAGCCTTCTCAGTGAAATAGGCGCCAAGGCCGTCAGTGGGGGAAGGGGCCTGCAGAAAGGGGGATGACTCGGAAAAGCCACTGTGGAGATCAGGAAAACAAATTGACCGACCACGTGTGTGATCAAGGCATGCTGAGGGCCCCGCTGCTGGGAGAAAACAGGTGTCTGGAGTGGCACCTGGGGTGACAGGAGGTGGGAGCCAGCTGGCAAAACCGAGGGGCGTGGCAGGTAAGTCAGGTGAGAACAGTGGGAAAGGAGGAAAGAGCAATGGCTGGGGGGGGCACATTTCTAAGGAGGAGATTTGCCATGAGGGAGAACAACAGCGTGGAGCAGGCAATGGCCACTCAGGAGAAGCCGGTAGCTCCTCCGGGCCTGGGGAGGGGAAGGGTGAAAAAGTGAGCAGCTTCTATAAGGAGGGCTGTAAGAGAAGAGGCGTCTTGTCCTTCCACTAAGGCCAGCAGCGGGAGGGGATACTCAGGAGTAGGTCAGGGTTGGGGAAGTTTTACCAAAGAATGGAAGCTTCAAGGCCATATCACAAAGGATTTTATTATTTGGTACAGTAAAGCCAAATGCTGAAACGGACAAACTTTTAAATCTCCATAGCTTAATTCCCATCTTCAAAAGAACGTACTTCTCACTCACATAAAGTCCAGCTGGTGGTGTCTAGGAGTCATTCAGGAGCCTGGCTGACAAAGCTCTGCCATCCCCGGCACGTGACTTCCAAAGTCATCCTAGGTGTTGGCCTCCGGGTGCCAGAGGAGAGAAGAGAGAATTCACAAGGGAGATGTTTTGGGACTAGACCTCTAAGTAGTTCCATCAGCCAGAACTCAGTAACGAGGCCCCACCAAACTGCAGGGGAGGCTGGTTGGAAAATAGGGTCTGGGACCGGGCGCGGTGGCTCGTGCCTGTAATCCTAGCACTCTGGGAGGCTGAGGCAGGAGGATCGCTTGAGCCCAGGAGTTGGAGGCTGCAGTGAGCGATGATGATGACACTGCACTCTCTACCCAGGGTGATAGAGTGAGACTCTGTCTCAACAATGACAACAAAAAAAAAGAAAGAAAGAAAAGAAAATATGTTCTAACTACATGAAGAAGAAAGGGAAATGTGTCTGGTGAGTAGCTAGCAACCACTGCTCCAATTTGAAAGGAAGGCCAGTGGAAGAAGAAAGTGTCGATGTCTAAACTCTCAGCAAGTGAAAGATTTGGCCAGCTTCAGGCCTAAGCTGGGGGTCCAGGACTGGGGCTGGGGCTGAGGATTCAGGAGATCAGAGAGATGAAACTCTGTGTGGCATGGAACAGGATCAGCGAGTTGTGCATACATAATTTCAGCTGTGGTGGTGAGGTAGGTGGATCAGGTTCTCTTTCCAGGACCTAAACCATACACTTCCTAGAACATCAGTCTCAAATGATGGGCAAAGGACAGGTCGACGTGGATTTGAAGGGCCTTGACACAGTGCCTTCGAAAAGCTAAAGATGTACTGGAGGCCATGGCCAAAAATCTTATCACAATCTACTATCCCCTCCCCCATACACTCACACAAATCCCTTTCTCCTTTCGTGCTTTCACAGTTGCCCACAATAATCTGCTAAGCCCAGGGTCTAAATCATTGTATACTGAAAAACTGATCACCCTTTATTCATGGTCAAGGAGAGCCTAATCTTCATTCTGACATTCCCATGATAAGAAGGGAAATATACTCAATCCTTCCTATGCAGCCAAGAAAAGGAAGAAAAATAAAACAGTTGTGTTTATGGTTAAATGCATTCAGGCATTTCTCCGCTGGGGCCAGTTTCTAACAGAAATAGGCACAGGGTGGAAATCTACAGAGGTGGGAGCCTCTCGGGCAGGGCCCCACAGCCAGGCTTAGAGTGTCAGCCTTGACTGGGTAAGGCCTGCTGGGTAGGGAGGGGTCTTGGTAAGGGAAATGAGGTCATCGGCTGCTGGGACACTTCTCCAGTGTCTAGGGCTTTGGGAGATGCCTCTCCTCTCCCAGGAGGCCAAGTACTGCAGCCGTCTGGCAGAGGTAAGGGAAGCTGCTGCCATCACATTTGCAAACCCGTTCCCGTATGTCATGCTTTTATCTGGAATGCAGCTACTGCAGAGGTAGATAGGGTGGAACCCAGTAGGCCACCCAGGCAAATGCGGCAGCTTATTCTGCTTAAAGCAGAGAATATATGTTCTCCAGATGCCTGAGTCAAGTGCCAAGAGAAACCAAAGAATGAATAAGGCCATTGTAAAATCAATGAGTTCAAGAAGGCAGGGCATGTCAGTAGCTCATACCAGCTCTTAAAGAAGGGCGCCCCTGAGGTCTTTCTGGAACTGACACTACAGAGATAGGCCATTCATTACAGGTCCTAAGTGAGAAGCCAGAGCTGCAAGACACAGTTGGTCACCACCCCATCACTTACCAGAGCCCACAGTGAACACTGGTAGCCAAGTCACACTGCGTGAGGCCACCACTCAAGGCCACAGGACCGGAAAGCCCAGGGAGCCTTGTAGCAGTTGCCTGCCTACCTGGAGGAAAGGTCCAGCTGGCTCGGACTCAGGGAAAGCACTCTGTACTGCCCAGACTCTTAAGTGTTCTTCTACAATAGCACCAGCAAAGAGATGGCCCTTGGGTCATTGGAGAAGTTCTCAAGGAGTGGCAGCAATGGCGCAGGGGGAGGGGAGGAGGCAGCACTCTGAGTCCTCACTCAAGGGAGCCGCTCTGCCTGAATCTACAGACCCTTAGGGTACAAGAAAGAACAGTCAGCACTCTTCGAGATAGAAGATCTAGGTCTTACTCTCAACTCTGGTACTGTTTGGCATATAATTTCATTCTAGATCTGTTCCCTGTTCTGCAAAAATGAGGGTAGGTGAGGTGACATACAAGTTCCTTCCAGGTCAGGTGTCTTACTGTTCCAATCAAGCCAACGTTTGGCTACTCATTTGCCAGTCATTTGTCTGATTGCTCACAGATTCCCACCCTCCCCATCCTGCTTTATATGGCAGAGGGCTAGTGCCTGCAGACTATTCTTTCCAGTCTCCTTTGTCATCTGGCTTTGGAAGGCTCTGGCAGCAGATTGGAAGGTGGGAAGAAGGGAGAAGCCAGAGTATTTCTCTCCGTTGCTTTGGGAGGCAACTTAAGTAATGACTGTGTATCCATAGTTACAGATCTTTCTAGGCAGCCCTTCACCATCCTGTTTGCCTTTTAAGTTCTTCCAACGCCTTTGTAACAAGTTCCCTGTGTTAAACTCCCTTGTTGAGCCATATAGCACATGCCATTTCCTGACCAGACCCTGACTAATACAGCCAGGCTGTGGATATCTGTAGTCAGTTTTCAATCCCACTGCTGTGCAGCCCAGATGATATGCAGCCTCGTACACAACCTTAAATTAATGTTCACAAAAGAAGGAAATGGAAGAAGAGAGAGAGCAGGAAAGTGAATTATCAAAGAGTAAGCACAATCCTGGCTAAATCCAAATCTCTACCCCTTTTGCCCTGCACACTGCACAGCTGAACGCAGCTGGAGAAAAAACATACAACCATGCTGTCCAGTTTCACTTTAAAGTCATGCTCACTACCCTCAAGTGGGCCCGTAATGCTGCCCTGCAATCACCCTGAGTTCCCCATACCATTCATTCTCCTGCTTTCCTAGGTGACTGTTCCATTCCTGGTCCTCTCTACTCAAACTCCTACCACCACCTTCTACTGATCATCACTCAGCTGATGACCTTGCTTCCTGTGTCATGGAGAAATTAAAAGCATTCAGAAGAGACAAGCTCCCACCATCACATCTCTGCACCTGCCAGCCTCTACCCATTTATTCTACCCTATCTCCAGCATCTATGGGAAATCTGCCCACACAGAAGGCAAACGACAACCCCTAGCCCTACTTCTTATGCTCAACATTCATTTCTTCTTGTTTACTCAGGAGCATTGTCCCAATAAATCTCCCTTCTCTCTTCTGCATTATTAAATTTTTCCCTTTCCATTGGATCTTTCCAAACAGAATACAAACATTCCATTGTTTCTCTAATTTAAAAATTCTCTCTTGATTCTACTTCCACCTCTGGCCACTACCTCACTTCTCCCCTACTCTTTCAGCAAACTCTTCAAGGGCATTGTCTTTGCTCTCTCTCTTTCCCCTCCCATTCTCTCTTGAGCCCACTCCGATCAGGCGTTTGCCCCCAACACTCCACCAAAACTGCTTTTGTCAAGGTCACCAATAACTTCTCATTGCTAAATCCAGTGGTCAATTCCCAGTCTTCATCTCAGTTCACTGTGCCTTATCATTTGACACAACTGGTTCCTCCTCCTCTCCCCGATCTCTAAATGTTGGAACACCCGGGACTCAGTCGTTGTATCCTTTCTCTTTTCTACCTACACTTCATCAAGTCTCATGACTTTAAATTCCACCTGCATTTCTCTTGGTGTCCACATTTGTACCTTCAGTCTGGGGCAGATTCATATATCCAACTGCCTACTCCGCACTTGGATGTCTAACAGGCATCTCAAATTGAACAGATCCAAGACTGAGCACCTGATACTTCCCCCTCTTAAATAGTAACTTCATTCTTCCAATTGCTCAGGTCAAAAACTTTGGCTCCTCCTTTCTCGTTGGACGGGAATGGATCCATCAGGAACTCCTATTTACTCTATCTTCAGAATATATCCAGAAGCTGATTACTCAACTCTGATCCATGCCCCCATCATCTCATGCACTAGTAAGTTGCAGAGTCCAGATCCCCAGCCCATCTGACTAATGACAAAACCATGAGCTCTTGGGTGCAGCACTCCAGGCAGACTGACCCTCCCCAGAAAAAACACCAAGGCTGCACTGAATCAGGAGCCACAGGAATGGAAGGTCTAGGGGTTGGCAGGGATCTCCACGAAAGAAACACTTGCTTTGTTGAAGTCTCCAAGTATCAGATGACTAATCTTGCATAAACTGGTTCGTTTCATCTGGTTTGTTTCCTGCACTTCACAATTTGTCTTTTTGTTGTTGTTTGCATGTTTATTGTCTGTCTCTCCCCTTAGCTCCCCATTCTATGTATCCTCAGCACCTAGCATAGTGCCTGGTACATTTTAGGTACTCAATAAATAGATGAACAAATTGTTTCAAGTATAATTCTTCTTAATATCACTAATTCACTCATCAAATCCTGAATAAACACCTGCTTTGTGCTAAGCCTTGTCCTTATCATGCTTACAGTTTAGTAAGAAAGGCAGACATTAAATAATCACATAAATAGAAAAAACTGTAATCAATGCCATAAAGGAAAAGTATGGGGTGCTGTGAAAGTATACAGCAGCTGCCCCTAATTTAGATGAGAGGGTGTCAATGAAGGCCTCCAGTGCTGAAGACTGAAAGGGAAGAGGGGTCCTAGAAAAGGAAATAGTCTATGCACAGGTCCTAATGAGCTTTCTGCCTTTCAGGGACTGAAGGATGGTGCATATGCCTGGAATGCAACTGGTGGTCTCATCTTCTCAGCGATGGCCGGCGTGTCCTAGGATCTGCCGAGGATGGAGGGCACAGGCGAGCCTGATTTGGACTCACTGTTGGAACCAGCTCTGTCTTCTGTCTCCCAGAAATCTAAGCCTCGCCACAGTTCCTTGAGCCAGTATAATTTAGAGAACTGGTCAATGCAAGTCACTCTGCCTGGGAGCTATTGGGATGGCTCCAGAATGGTGCAATGGGGGCCAAGGCAGGATTCCGGCAAGAAGAGCTTTGCAGAAGATGGGATTTGTGTAGCCGTAGCTATGGGCTTCACCTGGGAGGGCTGGAGTAGGGCCACTGCCAACTGATGGCAGTGTCCCTCTTCTCTGTAACCCTCCCCAACCCTTAAGCAGCCCAGGCCCAGCAGAGGAGGCCTGGCCAAGAAGCTGCTCGCTGCTAGAAATCTGGCTCCAGCTGAAGGAAGAAGTTAAGAAGGCCGGGCTGATGGCCGCAGAGACAGAGCTGTGTTTATCCAGGAAAAGAGGTAGGACGTAGGCAGCTAAGGCCCTTGCCAGCTCCTCCCAGAAAGACTGGGCTTGGGGAGCAAGCTGGAGAGGAAGCTGCTCCCCTCGGACTCTGAACGCATCCGGGCCAGAGGCCAGAACCCCAGAGGCGGCCCACAGGTGAGCCCTGCACTCCGGGCGCAGGACACAGCCGGTTGAGGGCTCAGATTCCCAGGCAGACTGTCGGAACATCGCGCTGCGGGCGTGCGGTGAGCGCGTGGCGGCGGAGCCTTCCCGAGGCCGCTCTGGGGCAGGTGGAGAATCAATGCTGCCTTTGTGCTCGGTGGTTTCCTGGGCAGGAAAGGAGTGGAGAGTGGGAGGGGCGACCCAACGGCCGCCCGGCCTGGCCCGGCAGACGCGGGATGTAGAAGGGCTGCGAGGCGCGGGCGGGACGGTCAGGACTAAAGGAGGTGGTGGGATTCTGTGCCCCCCCGAGAAGTGCGTCTCCTTGGACCGGCCCTAAGTGTCCTCAGGTCGGCAGCCAGGTGTGTCCTCTGGCTGCCAGGAACAGAAGTGAGTCCCCTTCTGGCCAGGAGAGACTTGAGAATGCGAGGGAGGAGCCACAGGAGGCAGGTGGGGCTTTGACCGAAGGATGGCTCAGTCCAGAAAAGCTTGCTCCCGGGCGGCGGGGCAGGGGAGGGAGGCCCGAGGGGCGACAGACCATATCCCGGAGGAGAGCCCAAATCTTCGGAATGGCCAGGGCGGGGTAGGGGGGGCGAGAAGGAGGTGAACCAGCCTTGGCCTTGGTGTCCCTTCAGGGCAGTTCGGAATCTGGGTCCGTTTTTGTGACTACAGACCTTCTGGTAATCCGGATGCTAGTTACACTGCTTGTCCTACTAGTACCCTAGGGTTCTAGTGGGTGTGTTGGGCCCTCGAACTCTTAGGTGGGTGGGTCATCTTCAGTACAAGTGGGAGAGTCTGTGAACCTGGTGTCCGAGGCCTGCATTTGAAAATACGACTGTATGGCCCTGGGCTCCCTCCATTTCTCCCCAGCCGCCCCCCTCCCGCCTCAACTTCGCAGCCCTTTTTCTGCTCAAACAGGCAGCCCGGGGACAAGGGCGCAGCGGTCGACCGCCCAGTGTATACTCCAGCACCACCTACCTCTGGTTCCTCTTCTCTCCTCTCCCAGCCCAGCTCCGTCCAGCACTGTCACCTGAGACGTGGGATTTGCACCCTCTCAGCCCTGCTGAACTCGGAGTTTTATTACTCCCACCCACCGCATGTGGCTCTTGGAGAAAGCTGGCTACAGGGTGAGGGCTGCGGAGCCCAGGGCCCGGTGGGCGCCCTCCAGCCTGTTCGCTAAGCGCAGCGCCCCGGGCCCAGCCACGCGCGCCTGCCCCAACGTCCTCACCCCGGATCGCATCCCGCAGTTCTTCATCCCGCCTCTGCGCCGGGACCCGGGCGGCGCCGAGCCCGCAGCCAGGCGCGACGCGGCCGGGCGCGGCCTCCCCTCGGCCTGCTCGCTGCCGCACCTGGCAGGCCGCGAAGGCTGGGCCTTCCTGCCCGAGAGCCCGCACACGCGCCGGCGCGAGTCGCTGTTCCACTGGCCGCCGCCCGCCCCGGCTGAGGGGCTGCCCCCGGCGCAGTCCTGGCTGCACGTGTCCGCCCCGGACCTGCGCCTCTGCCGGGCCCCCGACAGCGACACTGCCTCGTCGCCCGACTTGTCGCCCTTCGGCTCCCCGCGGCCCGGCCTCGGCCGGCGCCGGCTCCCCACGCCGCCCTCGCTGTCCCCGAAGGAGGCGAGCTCGGCTGACACCAGCCCGGCCGCGCGGCGCCGCGCGGGGCCGCCCACGCCGCCGCTCTTCCACCTCGACTTCCTGTGCTGCCAGCTGCGGCCGACCAGGGAGAGCGTGCTGCGCCTCGGGCCCCGCGGCGGGCAGCTGCGGCTGTCGGCCGAGTACCAGGCCGGGCCCCGGCGGCTGCGGCTGCGCCTGGTGAGCGCCGAGGGCCTGCCCCGGCCGCGGGCCTGCCCCGGGAGCGGCGGTGGCGGCTGCTGCGTGGTGCTGAGGCTGCGGCCCAGCGTCCGGCCGCGGGCCCAGCGGAGCCGCGTGGTCAAGTGCAGCACCAACCCCATCTTCAACGAGGACTTCTTCTTCGAGGGGCTCGGCCTGCCAGACCTGGCCGCCCGCAGTCTGAGGGCCAAGGTGCTGGACAGGGGCGCGGGACTCCGCAGGGACGCGCTGCTGGGGGAGTGTGAGACGCCCCTTATTACCCTGCTGCCCCCCTTGGGCGGGGGGTTAGGCCCAGGGTCCTCCCTGGCGCCCACCCATCTCAGCCTGTAGACTGAGACTGTGGCTTCCCCAGGAGGTCTCTACCGGATCTGCAGATCTCATTCTTTCCATCTGCTCGGCGTGTCTTTGTTTTTGCTAATAAAATGTCCATTTGTTCCTAGCTGGCTCTCTCCCCTTGTTGGCACCCTCCACTCTTTAGGTGTACAGCCCACCCTCTTCCCTCTGTCCAGGGCGTACATGGGGCGGAAGACCTTCGTTCAGATTGTCTGAGTTGGAGCAGACCTTAAGCAGTGGTCCTCAAACTTGAAGCAGCATCAGAATAACCCAACATCCGAAATCCTGGAAGAGCTTGTTAAACATTCAGAATCCTGGCCTCCATCCCAAAGAGATGCTACTTCAGTAGATCTGGGCTGATGGGTCCCTGTCCAACAAGGCCCCAAACCTTCAAGGAGCCCTTCAATCACTGAGTCACTCGGACAGAAACCAACACAAGCCACCTTCCTGAGGGTTCCTGGGGGCTGCACAGGGGAAATTAGTAGTTCTCCCTCATGCGCCCCAATACCTACATCTGTCCTAAAAAGAAATGAAATTTCTGGGTCTTAGGAGTGAGTCAGGGATTTTGGACTAATACACAGTGCCCTTTAATCTTCCTGCCTCCGTCTTGCCTGTTCCACACCTGTGCCTCCCTGCGGGTCAAGGCTGGAGCCAAGAACCAGAGCAGTGCTTGGGTACCAAATGAATGAGGTATAATGTCGCAGGGATTGAGATCTGGGGGAAGAGGGGTACTACCGCAGTGTGAGAACCGTTCTCAGGAAAGCTGAACAGGGGTGCAGGATTCTGCAAGACATGCTGCTGGGAGAGTGCGAGATGCCCCTTATTGCGCTGCTGCCCCCCGCTTAAGGGGGAGGGCTACCACAGCCAGGAGCAGGAGGGGGTCGAAGATGGATAAATGTAGGTCAGATTGTGTTTACCTCTACCTGAATGTCCTTGACGTCAGTGGTGACCTTCTTCTCTCTGCCTGCACCTTCTTGGGAGCTGGTTCCTCTTGGCTCAGGTCAGGCTTGGAGGAAGGAGGGAGGGAGAAAGGGAGTAGGCAGGGCCAATCCAGCTTTGTTCTCCGTTCCCCTTGGGCCCTTTCTTATTTCCCATGATGCCAGCTGTGGCCCACGGCAGGGCTAAGCCTGTTGGTTCCCAACAAAATGCATCTCACACACACACACACACACACACACACACCCCCTCTCCATTGAAATAGGTCCCTAGTGCCTTCCCCCTCCCCTGATTAGGTCCCCACCACCTAGCACTAGGCCCCGGAAACCTTGCTCCAGGTGTCCACCAGGTGGTAGCATTGACCAAACAATCAGAAGTGCTCACAGCTACACACAGATTCTCCCCACACAAGGAACTGTTCCAGCAAGCCATTTATTCCTCTCGGCGACTCACACAGGGTGTAAATACTATTGTTATCCAATGTGACCTTGGGCCTTCTGTAGATAGTAAGGGGTAGGACTAAAATTCAGAGAGTCTGGCTCCAGAGTCTGGGCTCCTAGTCACCTGACTGTAATATCCCCAGCTGCCAACTGCTGCCTCCCAGTGAAGTCATTCTGAAAGGGGCCTCCTTCCCTAAGATGACAGTTCTCCAATCATTTCACACCCTGCCAGTCTGAACTCACCTACAGGTTTAGCTCTATCCCATGTACTGTACTCCCATTTCAGCACCCAAATCCTCCCATGACAACCTTTGGTGAGCAACTGGATTTGATGCCCGTTTGAAAGTTATCTGGAAAGAAACGTACAGGTCACATAACCTTCATTCATGCATTCCTTCAGCTAATCCTTAGGGTCTAGGAGGTGCCAGGGATTGGATATAGGAGTGGCCAAAACAGACACGAGGATCAGACAAGTTACAAAATGAACAAGTAGAATGTAAAGAATTTTACTTGGTGGTGTTATCGAGCGAAAGAAAGCAGGAAAGGGACTAGAAAGGGGGTTTCAGATAAAGAGAGAAGACTATAAGAATGGAAAGAGGGAGGGAGGAAACAAAACATTTTTTTTAAGCCTCGGTACTTTGGACCAGGCCCTGTACTGCACCTGTGCTGAATCAGTTAATCATCACAGCCACTCCATAAGGTAGGTGTTATTATTCCCATCTTACGAAGAAGGAAATGGATCAGAGAGGTTAAGTAAATTTGCCTGGGCATCAGCCCTGGCTGCAGGGAGGGGTTCTGACTGTGGCTCCTCCCAGACACCCCACCCACACCCTCCCCAGCTGCTCGGGAAAGCTAGCAGAGCCCCTGAGGGGACATCCTGGGTAGCTAAAGCCAGGGAAACATGCCTGGGGGGGCAAATAAGGTCCTAAGAACCCCTCCAGTGCGCAGACTGCTCTGGCCCCAGAGCAGGTGTGCAGACAGTAGACAGAACGGTTACGCCTGCCACCTTTTTACTGATGTGGTGGCTGAGGCCTGGGATTTGCCTCAGGACCCGCAGCTAATAAACGGCAGACCACATTCTTACAATTTTATATTTCTGCTCCAAAAATCAGAGCTCCTGTTTCTTTTCAACCCTCCTTGCTGCCTCCGAACCTGTGTGACTGTAAAGGGTAATTGGTAGATGAGAGGGACAGGCTGGGTCGCCAAGGGAAGTTCAAGGCCAGGAGCTAGGGTCAAACTCCCACTGTTCCCTCCACCCACAGTGGCCTTTGTGACAGGAAGGGGAGGGGTGGAGGCTGTGACAGATGTTTATGGAGCTGAGTTGTCCTTTTTTTTTTTTTTTTTTAACGGTTGGGGCACAGCCCATCCCTGAATCACTCCACTAGATTGAGGTCTCCCCAGGCTTGGTGCCCCCTAGGACCCAAAGAAAGGTGGTCCCTAACCACTGGATCAGGCTTCACGCAGGAGAGGACCAGCCAAGGATGGGGCTGGGTCAGCGTGTGGCATTGCAGGCTGCCGGGCCACACACGTTTCTACCTTTAGCCCCCAGGCCCTCCCTGGAAGGGCAGGTTGTGCTGAGCTTTAAGTGGTTTCTGTGGTTTGGGGGTGGGGACGGAGGGAAAGAGAAGTTAGTGACTGCTCCCCAGTTCCAAGCCACCACCACCACTCTCCACCCCCTCCAGGCTGTTGGCCCCCTGCATTGAGATTGCCAGGCCCGATAAGGGGCCTGGGCACGTGGGGGGTGAAATGATTCTCTGATCCCTATCAGCCTTGTCCTTGTATATGAATGTAAGACTGTATTTGAAGAGGAAATAACCACTGCCCTGCTTTGAAAGGACTGATTTCTCCAAAAAAGGAGCTCCGATTGTAGAGCAAGAGGGAGGAAGTTTAGACAAGAGGGCAGATTTCCCAAAAGGATAACCAAGGGAACTTCTTGCCCTGGGGAGAAAGAACCCAAGTCATCCATGCTTAGGGCAGGCAAGGGGCAGAAATGCTTAGAAAGCATGTGATTCTCTGAGGCCTAGAGGCAGGACTCTGTCTTCTCAACCTCTAGTCACTTCCTCCCCACCCCACACAGCAGCACCAAGTGGCACAACTGGGCAGGCAGCCATACCTGCGGTATCTGGGGATGCCCAGCGCCCATCCGCAAGCATTCTGCGTGACCTCCACCCTGTGCCTACAAGGGATGGGGGTGGTTAGTCAGGAAGGGCCCTGGGAGACCCAGAGCCACAGAGGAAGAGAGGCCTCAAGATGAGAAGAGATAGAGAGGGGAGAGCTGGGAGGCACAAAAAGTGAAGAGCCATAGCCAGCAGGGACCAGCAGGGAGAGACACGGAGAGAGGATAAAGGTGGAGTTCTGGGGGCAGGGGGGACAGAGCCACATTACCCCTGGCACTCCCCTGCACCCCTCCCATACCCCCACCCCGCCTGTAGCTGGCTCCACTTGTCAGCCAGAGGGTCCTGGGTGGGGTGGTGCTGCAGAACGCTTTGCCTGTAACGCCAAACCTGCCCAAGGGCCAGAGCTCCAAAACAGATCAACCTCCTGTTCTGTACAGAGAAGCATAGATGGAAGCGTGGGCCCGCATTTACCAAAAGGATACGGGGACAATCCAAGCCTAGAGGCACAGAAACATACCCTCAGACTCAGTACAGAAGGTCCCCCAAAGCTTCCCTTCCTCTTCCTCACTCCCCTTCCCTTTTCAACCTCCTTAGGAGTTGGAAAGTCCTTCTCCACTTCTAACCTTTGTCCCTCAAGCTGCAGACATTAGGAGGTTCTGGGAGCTACCCAGGAACAGAGGTGCTGATGGTAGCAGAAACTCCAGGGTAGGGCAGGAGCAGGGGATGGCAGGATGGGAGGGCAGAAGAGGGAAGGGACAGCTGCCTGCCCTCTCCATGCCAGGTGCCACGTGCACCAGGTGGGGGGAGTGGGCGAGTCACGAGTCACGAGGCTGTGGCGTGGCTGGCTCCTGCTCTGCTGTTTACCAGCTGGGAAGGAGAGCGGGAGGTGGCGCCAGGGAGCCTCCCGCTGCAGCTGCAGCCTGGCCCCTAGCCAGCTGCTTGTTGGGTAACCAGGAGAGCCAGGCCCAGCTAATCAAACTCTGGGTCCGGGCCATGCAGGAGAAAAGTGGCCTCCAGCATGCACGGAAGCCTCGTTCCTTGATCCTCCTCAGAGCCCCTAGGTACAGGCCTCAGTGTGGGCCCACTCGGTCTGGGGGACCCTCCTTCTCCCAACTAGTCCAGGGTAGCATCTCTCCTCTCCTCTCCCTTCCATGCTCCTCTGCCTCGGCACACTCCTCCAGGTCTGCCCCTCGCCCCCAACGCCCGAGAGCATGTGGAAGCATCAGGGCAGCAGGAAGTTCTAGGGAACTGAGACGTGACCAGGATGAGTCCAACTCTGTCCTGGAAAAGAGGCAGAATCCCCCCAAACCTGCTCTCCCCTCCTCTCCTCTCCTCCCCCCATCTCTCCTATTCCTGACAGCATCTGTCTTAGTCAGGTAGAAACCACAGGATTCTGAAGTCACAAAGACCTGGGTTCAAATCATAGCTCAACCATGTATTGTCCTTGTGTATGTCCTTGGGCAAGTCATTAATATTTCTGAACATCACCTGACTCATTGATAAATCTGGAATAATTATACTTCCCTGTGGTGGGTGTTATAAGGATTTATACAAAGTATTAATAAAATCATGGAGTTACATAAAGTGCCTGGCAAAAGGCCC